AAATTGAAGGAGCCGACGAGCCTGGGAGATGTTGTCGATCAAGCGGTCCAGCAAGATCAGGTCACCGCGCAGTCACAGTCGGTAAAGGAGGTTGTATGCTCTCTGGTCTTGGAAAAAAGTCTGGCTTGGCATAGGTTCAGTGTGGAATGGGTGACGGCGGAGGTGTTGGCTGACCAGAGAGAGGAGGTCCAAAGAGCCGTTGAGGGATTGAAAATCGGGCTGAGTGCTAATCGAAGGTTGGAGCCATCTCGGAGGGCGCTGTGGGAGGTAGTGTTCTGTATCGGTAGGGTTGCTATGAGGGCGAGCGCGAGGATTGGCCATGACAAATGATGGAATAAAATGGCGTACAAAAGGCTGCGGAGCTGAAGTGAGCCTGAAAACTGACGAATCGAGGATGGGCAAACTGGTGAACGTAGATTGGATGTGAGAAACCAAATGTCAGTACGGGTCAGTGGATTTGTCCTGCGGCACGCCGTAAAGAAAGCTGGGTGAAACGGGTCAAATGAAAAAACTGACCACGGGCGTAAGTGGAGATTTCTCCGGTTGACTGTCTTCACTAAGGTCCCGCTCAGCAGCCGGCGGCAGCAGCACAGCAGCAGGAGTCGTTGGATGTTGTGAAGTCTGTGGCGTTGTTATGGGGGAAGGGGAGAAATCCGGTTGTGAGTGTGGTGCTGGGGAAACTGCTGGTGATGTGGGTGTTGGTGAGGGGGAAGGTGCTTGTCTTGGTGGTGCGGTTGGTAGTGGTGTGGAGAAGAGTTGCTGGTCCTGCTGACGTTGCATGTCTTTGAGTTCCTGCCATCGGGCTTGGCATTGCTCAACGGAGAAGCCCACTCGGCGAGCCACAGTGGTCCAGTTGGGACGAAGTTTTGGGTTTTCTTTGAGTTCGACCAGGCGACAGTCAGCGTCGCCGTCCCAAGCATCCCAATCCGCCTGTCGGTTCAGTGGTGGTGGGGGTGGTTGCTTCCGCTTGCGTGTTGTGGTGGGTTGTGGATCTGGGGTTGTTGTTGGAGTGTCGTCTGAGTCTTTTGAGGGTGGTGCTGGTAAGCGGTTGGGTGGTCTGGATGGTGCTGAGTCACAGGATGAGGTGGTAGATGGTAAACGTATAGGGTGGTTGGGCGGAGTTGGAAGTGGCTGAAAGTGTTGGCGGAAAGTGGGGTCCGCTTGGTGACAGTGGTGAAGGAAAACAGTGTGGAGGTCAATATCTGCTGCTTGTCGGAGCAGGTTTTGCACCTGCGAAAGTGCCACGGCGGTTCTGTGTATGAGAGTTGAGGTGTCGTTTTGTAGAGGTGTCAGTGTTCTGCTCATGATTCTGAGATGTAGGGGTGTACAGTAGCTAAGAATCGTCACAGGTTGCTGCGGCAGCGCGCCAAAGCAGCCGGACAGCGGCGAGTCTGAGGAAGCGCGTCATCACGTGGCCGTGCATATGAATTAAACGAGCATCAAATTCCCACAGGCAAAAGAGCGAAAATGTAATGCCGGTTGGACAATCAAGTACATGAGAAACTGACATGTGAAATACTCCATCAAAACAGCCGGTACGATTCGAGGAAAGATGTTTACAGCAAAACACTGCAGAGCTTGAAAAATTGAGGGTTCAAAATTCGCGTGGCCGCTGCAGGAGGCTCTTTTTTGCTGCTACAGCAAAGGTTGGGTGTTGGGGTGAGACCAAAGGTGGATGTGGAGGTGGTAGTGGTGTGTAGAAGTGTGGTAGTGGTGTTATGGGTCCGGTGGAGTGGAGTTGGTGGACCAGGCCAGTCCTTTGACAATGGCGTGGTCCGGGTGGATCACCCAGCAGCGGCCCTTCTGATGAAAGACTGCACCATGGTGGTCGTTAAGGAGGTTCATGGCGTGTTCCTCACCTCCAGAGGTATATTTTGTGGCAGCACCCCAAGCAAGGAGTGTGATGATGAGGGAATGGGAATTCTTGTGGAGGTGCCAGGTGTTGTGGATGATGCGGGCAAGTTCGTTGTGGTCATGGGGTTGGTTGTGGGTGATGCGAACGCCCTGGGCAAAAAATCCAGGGTAGTTGGCAAAATGGAGTGTGCTGGGTAAAATTCGGCCTTGGCGTAGAATGTTGGAGATGTTGCCGACGGGGCCTGTGTGGCCTGCGTTGATGTGGGCGACTTCCCGGTGGGTTGATGTGGCGCGGGAAACCGCAGGTGGCTCTGGTGTAGTGGCTTTGGTGTTGAGGAAGGGAAGTGAAATGGCGTAGTACTGGAATTGGTCGTATTGGTGAGTTGTGTCGTTCCACTTGGCGTGGGTGTATTGTCGGAAATCGGTGATCTCCTTGTAGGTGATGTTGCAGTCTGTGAGGATATTGGCAATGTACTGGTGTTGTGGTCGGTTGGGATTGTCGAGTTGGGTGGCGTGGAATTCGAGCCATTCCAGGATTTGGTCTGCAGGTGTAAAGGTGTGAAGGTTGGGTGGAGGTCGCCACCGGTTGATTGGGCGACGGAGGACGGCTGTGGTGGGAAATTGAGTGGGGTCTGGGTTGGAGTGTTCGGTGTTAGGGCGTAGATCAATGGGTTGCGGTGGCGAGCGACTGCGGGATGGCGTAAGGCTGGATGTGTAAGTGGATGTTGAAGGCGACCGCCGTCGCCGGGTTTTGCTGTGATGTTTGGAATGGCGGTGATGGTGATGTCGGCGGCGGTGGCGGTGGCGTCCTCTGTGGTGATGGTCGGACTTGCGTCGGCTCTTGTGGTGGTGGCGGCGACTGCTGTGTGGTGGTTGCGGGGAAGGTGGTTGCGGTGCTGGTGAGGCAGTAATGTCAGGTTTGGCTGGTGCTGGTAGTGAAGATCCAGGCACTGGTGCGGCAGATACCAGCGATGGGGATGCTGAATGTTGGGATACGGTAGCTGGTGGGGGCGTGTTTTGGACTGGTAATGGATTGTCCTGGGCAGTCGTGGGGGTGGATTGGATTGGTAGTGTTGGATCCGATGGTGGCTGCTGTTGAAGTGGAGGTTGGGCTGGTGTTGGAGTGTTGATGGTTTGTGGAGGCGGTGGCGGGGGCAACGGTTGGGGTGGAGGCTGTGTGACGGGGGGGAAAGGCTGAATAGGGTTGCCAGACGCCCTGGGGGATGGCGTATTGGGGGTCTGTGGATGGATGATTGTCGATCGCAGTCTGTTGCTGTGTTGGAGGGGAATGTGTCATTGTAGTGGGGGGAGGGGGTTCAGCCGGTGGTGTGGGATGATGTGATGGCAACATGTAGGAAGGGGGAGGTGCTGCTGTCGGAAATACTGGAGTTGGATGTGTGGGCTGCGGTGGCAGGTGACATGGTTGGACCAAAGTCCAAGTGGATGGTGTGCCGTAGGTCAGTGCAGGGGCGGTAGGGTTGGACACAAACGGTGGTGGTTGAAATGGTTGTGGTTGTGGGTGAGGGTATGCCGATGGTTGTGTCGGGGGAAAAATGGGTGCAGTTGATGGTTGTGGCATCGGCCATGTGGGTTGAGGTTGTGTGGTAGGTAATGGTGGTGGCGTGGTGTGAGCGTAGGGCCACGGAAAATGCATGTCGTGGTCGTAGCTATGGCGCGGCGCGGCGCGGCAGCAAAAAAGCAGCGGGGAGGTGCCGAGTTGTATTGTCTAGTTGTTGTTGAAGGTGTCGGCTCTGGTGTCAATGGTGAGTATGTTGTAAGGTGGTGCTAGATGTGAGCTTGTTGGTAGGCGTGTGTTCATGCATATCGAATTAAGCTGAAGAGCTGTAATGCCCATCCTTGAGTTCTGTCGAGGAAAGAATCGCGGCAGCAACATAGCAAATATAGAAACTCGCACATGAAAAGACAAGTGAATGCTGAACCTGAGATCTGGAAGTTGGAATCTGAATTATTCTTCAAAAACCGTTTTTTGGCCCGGCGGCCGGTGTGGCGGTTGATTCTATGAGGGTGTCGGTGCCTTCCTGTGAGAGTCCAGTGAGCGGTGGTGCGTTGGGGTGGTTGCTTTCCCATGCGAAGTCGGCGCCCCTGTGACGGGGATCACACTCAGCACCCGAGTGGGACGGCTGAGCGAAACACACTCTGACACTTGTATTCAGTGACTCAGTTACCACGTTGGGAAAATGGTGAGGGAACAGCAAGGTGCATGAGTCGGCCAAAACAGTATTGTTTAAAAAGTGTTTCCACAGGTGCAAGTCTGCAGAACGATCTGTCGGCGCTGCTCAGCGGGAAAGCGGCTGCAAGGCTGTGGCGGGGATAGGTTTGGGGGAAAGTATCGTGGAACCACCATGAAAGCAAGAGAGAGTGATTGGAACGGCTTGGTCAAAAGTTCAAAACTGGCGCAGGTACGTTCGGATGATCAGTCCGAATATCCCACTCTGTGACCTAGCTTCGTTGAACTGGGTCAGTCACAGAGTGCCCAGTTCCCCTGCCTGTGTAAAGTGGAAAGAGTGGTGGTGAAAGACCCTTTGTCCAGGGTGGGACACACACACACACATACAGACCAGCAGTCACAAGACGGGATGCTTTTTAGTCCCATCCAGCGGACGTGACACCCCTTCCTACTCGGCACCCAACTGGATGTCACTGCTGTATACATGGAAGCGACCCGCCCGGGTCGAACGGGAGGGAAACCGTTCACTAGCTGCAAAGGGCAGCGTTTGGAAGGGCTCCCATGTTGAGAAAGATCCAAGTCAAGATTGGCCAGGAAAACGCAGAGAGAGAGAGAGAGAGTAGAGATGCGTCATCCAAACTCAACCTGACACGAAGCTAGTTCTTGGATGAACCATACCCACCTTGTTGGGATTGTCTTTACCCTAAGAATCATTGGACCCGAACCACCGTTCGCTGGAGGGTTTGGACGCACGCCCGGGGGCCCGCTTTCGGACCCGAACCACCACCGATGCACCGAACGCTGAGGGCCCTTGATTCGGTCGATGTGTTTCCCCATCCGGGCTCCGAGTTCGCCCCATCTCCGACCCGGTGAGCGGTGGTCTTCGACCCCCCGAGACCACCCACCCTGGCCGAACCGAAACGGAGGTGGGCCAGGAGCCCTAGGGTTCGCTGTGCAGGCGATCCGGGCCTTGGATGATGTGGGAGGCGCGAGACACGGCCGGGATGGCGGAAAGGCAGACGGGAGGGGTCAAGACATGGCATGGCACGCACTGAGTCACATCAAACAAAACGCCATGAAAATGACCGGCACCACCACTTTTGTTGGGGTGGTGAAAGACAAGAACCGCTGACCAGGAACAAACGAACATTTCACATAATTTTTTAATAATCTGCCGCTGGTGCCGTACTCTACTATACTCTACCGCAGACACGACCTGTATGGGACTGCCATGTATATGTCCACATCTTTGACTCCTTTTCAACCATCCCTGGCCTGAACTCTCGGGCGTCATAGCAAGTCCCAATCGCAGGTGGTGTTTGGGTGATCGATCCCTTGGATGGTGGTACTCATCCGCGACGAATGGGACTGGAATAGGACTGCCGAGAGTTCCGGCCAGGGGTAGTGGTCTTGGGGGGTCAATGGATCGGCAGTCCCATGGAGCGCTTGGGCATGTGGTACACGTCCTGCCCTTCGCGGCGCAAATCGCCGTGAGGCAAGGGCGTGCCGCTGTTAGCCATGGCTAGCAAGGGCACCGGGATGAGTTTGGGAGCTGCTCGGCGACGGCTTCCGACGAGAGGCGGACGTTCGACGCGACAAGACGGACGTGACTCAGAGGTGAGAAATGTCAGCGCCCAAAGATGTCTTGTGCCCTAAGGCTCATTGGACCCTCAGTTCGCTAGGGTTTTGACCTTCACAGCCAGGGTCTTGGACCGAACCAACATGTAGCAGGAAAGAGGGTCCATGAGCCTCTGGGTAGTAGTAGGGGTTCCACTACTAAACCACCAAACTTGTGGGCACGACCGTGCCACCCCTTGTTCCGTTCTTGGGCGCTATCGGCTTCCGATCCGGCCCCCTCTAGCGCGCCTGCGGGTTCGATTAAGCCGGTTTTCCGATCAATGGACATTCCAGCAGAGGCTGAAGAACCCTGTAGACTATCCTATAGACGCTCCATGTATATATTGGCTACATGGAGCGTTTGGGATAGGTACCCCTGGTGACGGGTCCTAGTTCAGGTCCCTGGCTACCTTTGTTGGTTATTGGTCCACTTCACCCGTTGAGAAAGAAGCGTCCACGTCCAACTGCGCACGTATGGATGGGTATTTGCACCCCGTCTTGGTCTTGGATGGTCGGATTTCATGGTGCACCATCCACTTCCATGATTCATAGCTGGCATCCTCCATGGTTTCAGAGTCACGAATTCGAATTCCGCTGTTCTGGCTGTTTTCTCATTTGCTTCTCCTTCCGATCGCATTCTGCAATGCATTCTGCACCAGGAGTTGAAGGTGTTCATGTTGCTATAGCCCAGACGCTCCGTTCACCACCGTTGGTCCTTCAAGACCCCAGACATTGGTCCGACCCCAGACTCCATGAGCGTTTGGGAGGATGAGGTTGTTTTTGCTTCTTCGTGTTTTTCCTCCGGTTCCTGAAGCAAATCTTTTTTGGAGCCCAAACGCGACCCGTTCGGCCCCGAATCCTATGGAGGGGTCGGACCCGAATCCTTGGGTCAGGGGTCTGGGGTCGAACCAATCCCTATGGTTTTGAAGGACCAAGGGTTGTGAACGGAGCGTCTGGGAGGGAGGCTATCTCGCTGTCGCCAGGTGCCCGTCTCGCTGCTATCTTCCGAGGGGAAGATCCTGGCAAAAGAGGGAAGAGAACGTCGACAAAAAATGTTTGGAACGTCTAACCTGAAAGCTGGCCCTGAAGCGACGTCGTCATCATCATCATCATCACGGGCATGATCATTACCACTCTTCTCCTGCTTGGTCTTGGGCCCGTCTCTCGACCTCCGCACTTCCGACCCTGACCCGTCCTCCGCGGGATCCGAGTCCGTCGCCGAGGTGGTGGTCATGGGTGCCGGGTTGATCTTTCAGGCTGCCAGAGGGGATGTTCGGCACCAGAGAAGCGAATGGCACGACCGGTTCGCGATGGCATGACCGGTTCGCATGGCCGAGCTCGAGCGAGAGCTCGGATGCGAATGAAATCCGAAGACCAAGCAGGTGGTGCGAAGCACTTCCACTTCCACCATGATTCTTTCAGGGAGTGTAAGTCTTCGTCACAGTCGAAGGGTCTTCTACTCATGAGGACGTGGACCTGCATGGTGTTCAAACCAGCATACTGTTGGATTGACTCTTTTTCGTGCCATGTGCATAGTCCAGCATCGCTTCACCTCACCGTGACCATCCGTGGTTTGCATGGCGGCGAAGGCTTTTCTGTTGGGGAGCAAGAAGTGAACATCACTCTCTATCCCAAAGAATGCAGCAGAACCTTCAGGGACCTCTTTGGAGTCTCTGGGACTTCGGGGACTTTGAACTTGACATCCTCAAGTTCACTCAGTTTGAAGGTCCGGGTTCCAGAGTACCACAACTTAGTTTGTGCAATTGGACTTGTGCCTGCAGCACTGATGTGTTCTGTGCTCTTCTCCTGGCAATGACATACAAGTCCACCCGAATTCCTTCCTTTTTGGGGGGGAGGTCTTGGGGGCAAGAGGCAAATAATGTTTGCCCAGTCTTTGGATAACCTTGAACTGTTAACAATTTTGGGGGATTGGCTTCCCCACCAAATACGCAAGAATTGGTGGAAAAAGGGTAACCTTTGAATTTTTCTGAGAAACTGAGGGGGTAATTGTGTTTAATATTTATGCACAAGATATGTCTCATAGCTCTGAATCCTTCCTCCCAAAAGTGGCAAGTGAGAGCCGGGAATCACGCTATGATGGGTTTCCAAATCGAGCCGCCCAAACCGCTGGCCGAGGGCCTTTGCTTCAGAAAAAAACCATCCAGAAGCCTGAAGAGCAGTTGAGCATCCATCGAGATGTCATGCGACCCTGCGACCACCCTGCCATACGGTGCGCACCCTGCCATGCGACCTCTCCGATTTCAGATCCTGGCGGCCGCCTTGCTGGTCGCTGTGAAGTTGGGCGACGAAGAGACGAAGGATGAAAAGGAGGTTCGCAAGTGGATGAAGGCGAGGCTCCAGCTCCATGGAGAGAGAGAGAGAGGACCGGTTCGCACCCTCCCGAGGTGCGGTACGGTACGGCATCAGCGCGCCCATATCAAGTGACAAAAGGTGACCTTTCAAGGGAGACAGACACAGACAAAAGTGACCCTTGGGAGACTTCAGTGACCAGACCCTTAGGATATCCCTGCTAAACCTTATAACCACCTTTTGTTGTCCGGGACGTGTTTTACCGTAATCGCTGAACTTGGTCTTTTCACAACACTCAAATATATCAATATAATTTAGGCTTTGGACGTGAACAACCGTTCAGCATTTCAAAAGGACGTAAATTCACAAGATGGACGTAAATGTTGCGAGAACTTGCAAAAAGCTCTCTTTTAGCATCCTGGACTGAAATTGGTATCTATCCAGGGTAGCAGGTCAAGTTAGGTCACTTGGAAGAACCAGGGGCAGTGGCGGAGACATTGAGTGCTTGGATGTGTGTGTGTTGGGAGGGTCAGAACGTCCGGTTACCGGTTCTTCCACCGGCCGGGCCCCTCTGTCCTGCAGTTCGGTGGTTTTTGTTGTTGCCCTCCCGCCGTTACGTGGCATGGGCCCTTGGATCACCCAAAACTGCATTGTTTTCCGGATTTGCAGCCAGGTTTTTGTCCACATCATTCTTTCAGGTTTTGTGCACCATATTTGACATGTATCAGGCATGCCAGTCGCAGGGCCGTCCCGTGCTCCGTCTCTGCTTGGACGATCGAAGCCGCGCTGGGCGCCACGCCAGGAAGACGCTCGCTGGGCTCAGGAGGGCGGCTATGGCGGAGGTGAGCCGATCCACCGGAACCGTCGATCACGGCCGGTGTGGCCTCGTTTGGGAACTAGACATGGATCAACTCAAGTTGGTTATAGTGGATTGAGAGGACCAATGGCACAGACCCCAAGAGGTGGCTTATATGGACCCCTATGTCAAGGATATCTTGGGGTCGCCATCTACTCTGAAACCACTGTAATCTTACTTTTGTAGAAACAAATCCCTACACATCCAACGACGCAGTTTAACTTGAATGTAGGAAATACGACGCAGTTTTACGGCATCACATTTTATTCGACGCTCAAAAACTTCGAGGGGACAGTTTCGTTAAAAGTTTCGTTAAAACATGTTACAGTTATATATATATATGTCTTTAAATAAGTCCTGGCAGCACATTTTCAACCAAAAGACAAGTTCAAAAGCGCCTTTTTACCTGCGCCATGTCTTGTAAACATCCACACGTGCCAATCTCTTCTTGGCAATTGCAAGCTTCACGCTAGCAATTTTCACTGCACAGTCACGCTACAGTCACGCTAGAGTCACGCAGAGTCACGCTAGAGTCACGTTCGAGTCCAAGTTTTTTGTATAAAAAACTGGCCTGTTGAAAGTTTTTGTTGAAAAAAACTTCGAGTAAGGGGGGAGTCACGCTACAGTCACGGTAGAGTCACGCTACAGTCACGGTAGAGTCACGCTACAGTCACGGTAAAGTCACGCTACAGTCACGGTAAAAACTGATAAACAACATTACCACCGAAACGCACACGTGCTGCCAGGAATTTGTTGCAATTTCATTATATATGTATCAACAAGTTAAGTACGATAAAAACTTAGGAAAAGACGATAAAAACTTTCAGGTGACAACAAGTTAAGTACGATAAAAACTTAGGAAAAGTCGACAAACACTTTCAGGTGACAAAAGTTTTTGACAGTCGCATTTTCTTGAAACTTTCGAGGAAAATGCGACGCAGTAAAACGGAGACATTGATTTGTAGGGAATGATTGTCCCAAGAAGAGGTGGAGTTCGTTTAGTTCGTGCGAGAAAATGCATGGTTTAGCCCCGATTTGTCCGGGGCAAACTGAGGGAAACGGTTGGAGTCACTTGGACAGTTCTACGGCTTGGGCCAGATGGGCACAGGACATTCTCCCAAGTGTTAGCGGAACAAGGGACCACATGGATCTACATGGATGGCAGATTATATGTATACTTAGGACCATCAAGCGACCTAGACTTCATAGACTCGCATGGTGATGTTATTGTTCTCTTTGTTTGTCACTAATCCAAAGAGAATCATGCTGGCTCGGAGCGAGCTCTGATTTTGGGGGCTAGCGGTGCAGCAAGATCAGATTGACCAAAGAAACGAACTACTTCGCGCTCGTCGCCCAGCAGAACGACCACTTGTACCACAACCTTCGCCAGTGGTAGGTCGCAGTTATTCGCAGCTCATCCATCCCCTACTGTACAGGTCCAAAGTCCCTGCATAAAACCTGGTCCTGAAAACCTCTTTGAGTAGTCTTTGGTATGATCAACGCCAGTAGAATGAGGTCATTGACTGGGATCCAACAGAAACACACAGAGACGCGAGCGAAGAACAGCCCCACCACGCTCCATCCCGCTTCCCATCTCCGGCCGTGCAGAATATGGCAGCTGGGGCTATGGAGAGTCCTTTCAGGCGGGAAATGGTGCGACCAAAAAACAGAAAACAGGTTACTATAGTAGCTTCTAGCTACTAGTTACTAGTAGCGATGGCCTCCACCCTAACTAGCGATAACCTCCACCCTGGACTCCACCCTACCTATTTGTCACCCCTAGCTTCCCGGCCCAGAGGTGCCGGCTAACTTTCCACGCGATTCGTGGGGCGGCGAAGCTGCCCAGGCCACACAGTACGAGGGCTACGACCCCAATCACTTCGCATATGACCCCAACCAAGCTGCCTTTGCTGCTCCTCAGTGCCTACGACCGCAAAGACTGGACGTGCCACAGCCTGCGCGGTCGACGACCGGGAAGACTGGTTCCCAGCGTTTTGCTCGACCACCGGGCGGAAGACCCAACAGTTGGGTTAGTTGCACGTTGGGTTCCCCTACACCGACTTCGTCGTACCTCCGAAACGGTTCGGTGGTCTTCGACCCGAACCTGGCACCCGGGCCCCGGTCGTCCCACCTTCGAAACGAAGATACGACTGGAGGCCTAGGGTTCTATCATGTTCCCTGGCCTATAAGAATCATTGGACCCTCCATGACCTTCACCTTTGAGGGTTCTAGGGTTCTATATATTTGGGTTGTGTGCGGTGTGGAACTAAAGTGAAAAGAAATACGTCCAGACGTGACCCTGGAGGGGGTTTCGAGGGACCGGTGGGGCGTATAGTGAGCCTCCAGAGCTTGAAAAGCTGCATTCTAACGTTAGAATCTGCTCGAACTGTCGATCACGAGTGATATCATATCACTACATGGGGGCATGGCGGAGGAAGGTGTTACATCAATGGTTATAGTTTCCAAACATTTGGACCTAGACCAGAATTTGGGGTGTTTGCCATCTTTCAGTACCCCCTGGAAAGATGGCAAACACCCCAAACTGAAACCAAACCAGGGGGTGTTTGCATTGAATTTGGATGAGTACCCCCTGGAAAAACCTAACATGGACCCTCAATGCCAGTGCTTCGTAGAGGAAAACCAGTCGGACTCTGGGTCTCGTTCGACCCGTCGACTCAGGTTCCGGGGGGTGAACTAACACCATGGTTTCCCCTAGGGCTCGTGGCCTAGCTCCTGAGGTTCGGTGGGACTGGGGGCCCGGGTACCAGGAGGGTTTAAACAGCTTCTGAAAAGGTACTTGGAGGTGTAGGGATTGAGATAAGTACTACTTCGTGCTTTTGATCTTCGTGCTTTGGTGTGTTTGGATGGCTCAGGTTCGCTGCTGCCACACCTTGGGACCCGCGAGCGTACGCGTGAAATCATGGGAGCATGGAATCAAGGGAGCGTGCTTGGAATCGGCTGAAACGCGGCAGACAGGTGGCATGTGAGAAGCGGTCTGTGAAACTCATGTATGGCTGGTAGAAAGGAGGTGGATTTGTATCCAGGCATCAAGTCATGTGATGTCTATAACCGTAGTTTCCCAGGACCTTTAAAGGAAAGGTTGACCTGTTGTTGTAGTTCAAATTTCCATAGTAAAGCAGTGGTTGCTCGGCAAAGACCATTGAATCAAGGGTTGTTGGAAGCCTATAGGCCTATAGGGTATAATTACGTAATTAACAATAATAGTTATATATATATATATAGTTAAAAATGGTTCACGTACCCCAGAACTTCCAATGACTCATGAATTTTACTCCACCTGGTAGTCATAATCCACCAGCATGGGGTGTTCCATGAGTCATGGACTCTCAGGGCATGTTCCCGTTTCCGCTCGCAGGATGCCGGCGCGATGCCCACGGCAGTGGGGGCAGACCCCATGGCGGCGTCCTTCTCAAAGGTAGAAACAGCAGGGGGAAGGGTCTACACTCCTTCAAATCATCATGGTGATGTGGACGGCAGTCTGCCCCTTTTTCTTCGGGTGAGCATGTTTCATCTATATCCGGAGACCAGTCCCAAAAGGTGCCATCCATAGGAGGATTTCAGGGAGTGTATGCGGGGTTTGTATGTGAATGGAGCTGGCCCTGGAGGGGAGACTTGTCCTTGTCCCGAGCCAACAGGCCATGGATCCCCTTCGGTTCGGTTCGGATGGGGCTCCCAAAGATCACTGAGAAGGTTCTGGAGATGTTCAGCTGTTGGATTGACCGTCCCAGACCGGACTGCCAATAAGGACTGCCGATCCATTGGCCCCCCCAAACCGCCAAAGATGGCATAGGTGGAGTGTTTGGGTACTGAAGTACAAGGAAGTTCCTCTTCGGGTCACGTAGTCAGATATTAAATAGTCACTCTCAGGGTAGTGGAGGCACCTTGTCTCCCAAGACCGAGCCCAGGTTGATATAGGGCCTAATATAGGGTTCCCGTTGGTTTCTCTTCCACTCGCTTGATTGGGGGGGTTTATTGCTGATGCTACACTTGCAATGTGGCCTATACGTGATGCACTGCAGCCTGCAGCCTCGTTTTGCTTCGAACATTTCTTCCCGAACTGGTGAGCCCCCCCTTCTCAAAAGAGTCTTCCCAGTTCAGCAAGTCCAAGCACGCGTGCAGTGCAATTTGGCTGGGTTGACCTTCTGATTGGCAGGTGTCCTGCAGTGCCTATCGCCGAATTTGTTTCAATAACCTTTTGAACATTCAACATCATGCAATGATATACAGTGAGGCTTATTGCACAATCATGTGCGAAATGGTGTGTTTTGTGCAGGTGATTTCCTAAAGAACCGCTCCTCAATGAACGACTTCCTATGGCGCACCGTTCTGCTGTTCAGGCACCTCCAAGCTGAGCAACCCACAGCGGACGCGCAGCCGAAGGGCGGAATGCACAGCACACAGTGCCAAAAAGTCCGGGCGTGTTTCCTCGAGCTGGGGGGAATTGGACACACTCCGTGCTGGTGGAGGGGATTGAGAAGGCTTTTTGTGGTGACCTGCATGTTTGGTATCCTGGAAGTGGCGGACTCAAGGAGCTTGAGAATTCAGAATACCTTAGAACTATTTAGTGACTTAGCCCGAAGTGGCGGTTTCTGGGGTTGATGGCTTCGTCATGGAAGTGGATTCAATAAACTCTAGGAGGGTTAGCTATGCATGGTCCTGCCCAGACACGAGCCTGGACCCGAATCCTTTGGACCCGAATCGGAGGGTCAGGGGTCTGGGGTCGAACCAATTCCTGTAGGTTTTGAGACCCCAAGGGCTGTTTGGAGCGTCTGGGCATTACAGAAATTTGAAAAGCACGTGCCTTTCGGGGCCTTCATGCCATGTTTTCCACATACCCAGACACTCCATGCATGTATAGAAAACTCCACCGATCAGTTGGGGTGGTTGACCTGGGGTCAATGCAGCTACATGTTCCATAACTCGTGTTCCATGAATGTGGAGTGTTTCGGCCACGGAACGGATGGGTGTGTTCTTGCTCGATGGCACCACGGACCCGAGCGCTCGCCGGTCAGGTCGTGATCCAGGGCGGCCTTTGCGAGGGCCCGCCCACGGGCCAGCACGGCTGTGTGCCACTGGGACGGACAAACTTGCTGGGCGGTTTGGGTGTGTCGCGATGGGTGGAGCTCCACCTGGGTCAGGATGTACCACTCCCACCGCTCCAGCTGCTCCTTGAGGGGTGCTTTTCTTCTCCCAACACCATTCATGGCCATTGCGAGTTCTCACGGACCCACAGCCGCCCAAGCCGTTCGCACACCACTGGACGCCAGCCGCGACAACGCGCCGGTGTTCTCAAGAAGTCGGCCGTCATACTGCAGGGGGTCAGAGAGGCCAGCAGATCCGGTGTGTTAACACATGTGTGGAGCTCCCGTCCCTCCTATACGGCCACTCAGAGGCAACGCGTTCTTGCTATTCTTTGTGTGCAATGTGAAGGTTGGTTGGTATGTTGCATTTCTCGAAGTCTAGGTCCATAGGCATAAAGTGTATATAGGACATGTAGATTCGTATGTATACATACACCTGTTTGTCAATATTGATCAGCACCAGACCAAGGGAGCTTATGGATTCAGATGACGACCTTTTGAACACACGAGAACCTATCATGCCCATGCCAGTGCAAATCAGAATCAGCCACATTCTTTGGCTCCACTAACTTGTTACTTTTTTGTTCGGTCCCTTTTTCGCTGAGGTACTCCTACCCTGCACTTGAAGACAAGGAGAAAGTGTATAATGTTCTGTGGCATTAGCCACCAGGTGCCTGTTGAGGTTTGGTATGCTCTGGATGGAGACATAACAAAGTCAGAGGACGCATGGACTATCCATGCGTCATATGCATTCACCAATGGCACTTTTTGGATGGAGACATTGAGACATCAATGTGCCGGACTCATGTTGGAGGATGCGTCTTGCATTGTTTTTGGTTGAGACTTGGCGACCGTTTTGTGAGCGAACCCGGCTCACACGAGCTTGAACACTTAGCAGATGAGCAACCAGAGAGTCTTTAGTCCAAAACCAGGCGATGAGCCCCCCCCCCCCCCGTCGCCCCCGGGGGCGTCCATCAGCTCGCGCTGGGCATCCCTTCGATGAAGCCAGGACGTGATGAGTCTCGACGAACTGGTGGGCATCCCTTCGATGAAATGTTCCTTGGACCCAGGATGTCAAACAACCATTGTTTTAATGGTCTGAATCCCAAAGAACCATTCTTTTACTACCCAAACGCTCCAAACGACCCTTGGTCCCTCAAAACCTAGGGATTTGAGACCCCAGACTCCTCCATATGAGGGTCCGACCCCTCCATATATATATGAGGGCCCAGGGTCGCGTCTGGGTAAGGATTTTTACACTACACCACCAGCTCAACCGTTCTTCTAATGGTCGAACTGAAGGCTAGGGTTGGGACTGCATGACGACCGCGCCAACAAGGTTGGTCGGCCGTAAAGGCGAAGCAGCGAAGCTTCGACCGCGGAAGGTTTCGATGACCGATGCGTTTCCAACAGAGGTCAAGTGAAGAGGTCAAGGGACCTGAACTATAGTCTATAAATGTCTATAAGAGTTCTATTGGGTTCTAGAAGTACCTATATAGTCGAACGTTCGGGTTCTGACCCACCTCTGCTGGTTCTGGGTTTTGGCTGTTCGGTTCATATCCCAAACGCTCCGGACTGGCATATTTGGGGGGGGCCAATTGATCGGCATATATGGCAGTCCCATGGAGCGTCGGGGTATACTTTCCCAATATGTCCCATATATAGAGGATCCCGAACTGAGTGAAATCCCTTCTGGCGGCGAGGTGTCCCGGCGACAGTTGTGAAAGAGCTGCCAAGAGCTGCTCCTAGGAACTAGGTCTAAGATGTTTACCCTATAGGCTTCCTGGCCCACCATGAATAGGCAGGTCATCCCGAATCAACTAAGGATTTTACACTACAAACACCAGGTCAACAATTTTTTCCAATGGTCTTGGAAGTCTAGGGCTCTACGGACTCTAGGGTTTATGTTCACCTGATGTTTACCCCGGGTTCCTGGACAGCAAGTCCCATCAGATGGGGTCGCCATTCTACGTAGGGCTCCGTACCTCCGGTCGAAGCTACGAAACGAATCCCCGAAGGATGCATAATCAACAGACCCAGTCAGTGGACCATGGATCACCTTCCCAACCCCTTGGGAGTGGCATGCCACGAATTTCAACAAGAACAGGCAGCCCGAGGACAGGTCTCCGAGTTTGGGAGGCCTGGCTGACCTCAGGTGGTGACCTGGCAGGCTTCGGGTGCAGAGTTTTCGTTCGGGATGCTGCGAGGTGGCGATGGCGCTGGTCCGCAATGCACGCTTTGAGGGGGACAAAGACACAACCCTAAGAACCCCTATGGATCCACATACCTTCTGAAAAGGTACTTGGGCCCTCCAAGCCTACATAAATAGTCTCCAATCACCTTCTGAGAAGGTATACTTGGATCCCTAGGGAAATCTTTGGACCTGGCCACCGAACTGGAGGCTTTTGACCCGGCAGGTTCGGGGGCCCGACAGGACCCGAGGGTACATACCTTAAACCACCTGAACGGGTCGGGTGGACGATGTTCCACCCGATCAAGATCCGCACCCGGGGCCCGACCGCCACCCTTGTGAACGGCAGGGGTGAAGAACCCCGGATTCGCCATGGTTCGGGTCCGGACGGCCGGATCCTATCCGCCCAGACGCTCATGGGCCCTCATATGGAGGGGTCGGACCCTCATATGGAGGGGTCTGGGGTCTCAAATCCATGGGTTTTGAGGGACCAAGGGTTGTTTGGAGCATCTGGGCGGGCAGGGATTTCCGGCGGAGTCAGCCCTTCGGCACTCCGCCTCTCCACGATCCGAGAAACGAGGTGGGGCATCGGGCGAGAGGGCTTGTACCGATTGGCCGCTGGGTGGCAGGTTGGGTGGGTTCTTCCCGAAGATGGTGCGCCTGGGGGTTGGAACTCCGTTCTAAAACTGGCAATGCAATCACCTGAATCACCCGGTGTCTTCATTTCCCTCCCAGCATGGGGTGCCGAAGGCCAGCACAAGTGGACAGACCCAAGACCTGAACTTTTCGAGAAAAGAGGGATGGGGGGGGTGCACCCCAGAATTTAGTATAGAGAAAATAACTACTTTTGGAACGAGAATGGGAAGAAGCGAGGGTGCATCAGTGCATCCTTCCATCTTCAAGAGAACACAAGCTCTGCAAAAAACAGTTTTCAGACGCCTTGAGAAAGAACAAGCAAACAGGGCCCGGGCATTTTGCAGAGAAAGTAGACCGAAATAATGAGGGTGTCTCATCATCACCCTGTGAATTTCAACTGGGCTTCCTTTATCGTGACCATGGAACCGGGTTGAATTTCAAAAGTTCCTGTTTGATCCTTTTGGGGGCACTGAGCATTCGCAGATGGCTTGATCTGGTGACAGGAGGGGGTCCTTACTCACCCTGCAGACAAAGATGGGTCCTTGAAGAAGCAGTGGAAGAAGATTGTCCTTTTTGCGAGGAGTGGTGGAACCCCACTCAACACGAACAGCCAGCTTCTTCAGTTCGTGACCTTTTGAAGGTTCCTTTTCGTGACCCTTCGGAGGCAGGCCTAAGTGGCCAGGTTATCAAGTTATACCCAGACGCTCCAAACAACCCTTGGTCCTTCAAAACCTAAGGATTTGAGACCCCAGACCCCTCTCCATATGAGAGCCCATGAGCGTTTGGGTAGGTCCCTTTGAAGAACCAGGAGGTAGAAAGTTCGGTTCACCTTCATGTTCCACGGAAACTGAAGGAGTCAGGAAACGGAGTTCTCAGCGGAATGGTTCCACTCGATTGGTCGACTTCGACGATGCGATTGAGCAACCCCTGCCAGACGATGCGACTACAGCATTCCTTTACAGCAAAACTTCCCACACATCTCAGGCTGACCGTTGATTTGAGGTCCAAGTAGGCCTCTCAAAACTACTATTATATCTGCTTGGTGCACCAAAGCTGACCGCTCCAAGACGGGCCTTCTTTCGACCCAACCCCGAGGGCGGATTGGCGGAAGAACTGTTACGCCACTTGGGCGGAAGCTGTGGGTGAGCGGAAGGCACAACGCCCGGGGACCGCAGGGTCTGCCGGACTGAAGGCCCTGAGGCCAAGGGCATGGGGGGGTCAGTGAAACACTCATGGGGGGGTTGACCTGGGGTCAATGTATCGATCCATGTATAGGTAGGACTTAAGGATTTGCACCCTCAAAAACAAGGGTTAAAACAAGGGTTTTGAGGGTACAAACCCTTGTGATAGAGGACTATTTTGGACGCCTGCCACGGCCTGCCTGTCGCTGTGCTCGGTTGCTTTCATTATCTTTCACCTTCAGTGGGCCGTTGGGCATATGGCCATCAATGGAAGGAACTTCTTTGGCTCCATGACACCTACCCTCCCAAGCCCAACGAAGTGGAATTCACCCTGGTCTTCGGAAAAAGATAGGTCTTTCCAGTGGTCATGCCATCGACTTCCATGAGTACGTTGAACAGGAGGGTCACCCAACATGGATGCCATTGGCTGAGCTCATGAGCCCTGCGATTCCGGATCCGCAGCATGTCGATTTCACGAGTCAACGAGACATCTCACAGACCGCCAGACTCTGAACTGACCCGAAGTCGCTCTTGTCAGTATAAGCGGCGCGACGGCGTGCACCGATGGGTGCGAACAACGCCGGCTTTGGGTTTCCCCGGCCTGAAGACGAGGTCGAGGTGCATCCGGGACGCAGAAGACTGAAGATGGCGTGTGAAAAACCAGACCCCTGTAGATCCTATAGTCACAGCCCCTTTAGGTCTCGAAGACATGTCTGACAAAACCAGGTGAAACCCTAAACCCTATATGAGCAAAGAACTGGACTGGACAGCCCAGGGATTCCTATAGAAGGATATCGACTGGACAGCCCCTGAACCAACCCGGTCCATTTCGGCCGTTGATGTCGACATCCCGGCCCCTTCCATTGACTATAGTCTTCCTGCGTCCCATCTCAGGACCCAGAGAACAAGTACAAGAAGAGATTTCAGCCGCCCAGCGAGATCGACCATGATGTGACACCACCCGTTTTGCGTTTTGGCGTTTTGGGAATGCCAGATGTGCCAGACTTGATTCGTCCGGGTGGCGCGCTTGCGGGGTTCAATTCGGCATATAATATTATATATACATCATTATACATCTAATATACGCATTGGTACATACTGAGTCCACTTGATGGTTTTGTTCCGGTCCATTGAACCCCTCGCTTCCAGATGCTTTCCAAGGTAGAACGTAACTCGTCCAGAATCACGTACAGCCGAGGTGAGCCCCTTGAGTTGGAACTGGCCCACCAGCCACCAGGGATGTATGGATGTATTGGAGATCCTGGATAAGTTCACTTTCCGAACCCCACATGGAAGTGGACCTGGTTCTTCAAAGTGACCTTTTGATCCCCTGGTTTGAGGTCACGAACAGGCCTGGAAAAGGTCGCTTGGGGACTCCAAAAAGGTCACGAACTGAAGAAGCTGGGAGACCCTTGCTTCCACTGCAATCCTAGTGACTAGGGAGTCGGAGATCGCACGCCCACCGGCAGCACCTAGGGACTTCCAGACAACCGTGGTCACTTGCTTGGTCAGCCTCCTCTTCGCTGTAAAGCAGCAGAGGTCAAGAACTGGTAGAACTTTGTAGAACGATGTTTGATGTGGTTGTTGACGGGATGTGGTGTTTGACGGTTCCCTTATTTAAAGCATGTTTGCATAATCACCCAGATGCTCAGGAAGACGGACAATCCGGATAAGACCATGAAAGTGGAGGTCGTGGCCACGGACTACTGTGGCGAGCTTAGTTTCCATGCAAGCTACTGTGGCGGTGATGTGGTCTGATCGATTCTGAGAAATTCCGAACTCCGATCGATTCTGAATACCGGACACTCCATGTGGAATAGCATGGAAGATTTACCGTTACCGACTCCTTGGGGTGGTTTCAGATGATTTAGGCGAATGATTGTAGGCATGCGTATATTCCATACATGGAGCGTTTGGGCTATTGCCCCAATGATGTCGAAACATGTTTCTTCTCTTCTACCCAGTGGGCTTTGAATAGCCTCACCCCTCCAACTTGTCCTATTCATTCCTATTCTCAGAGATGTGCAAGATTTCCCTGCTCGGAGGCAATCAACTTCCCTTTCAACACCCAGGATGGAACACCCCTTAACCTTTTGCTGGATGGACATATCTCCAGCCACATCTAGCTTTATGAATGGCAGGCGGTTCTTCCACAGATATGCCACCTCTCGCGTTTTTTTCAGTTGAGGTTCCTCAAATCGTCAACTGCGTGGGGGGTCCTCAACTTTTCCACATCACCAATCATCATCGGGTCCTCACCCCTTCACCACCTACCAAACTTGGCCCTTCTTTTGAAGGGTGGACAAGGTCACAACATGTCCCAAGTCTCCAGACACAAAAGGCTGTACACCGCAAAACAAGGCCCGTGAACAAAAGCCTCCCCTGAAAGCTGGGCTAGACACGCAGCTTAAAAGCGCAAGTGGTCCAGCAAAGCCATTGTGACAAGGGGAACATGGCAAAAACACGGGGCTGAAAAACAATGGGCGGTGGGGAAGAGCCGTTCCCTGGACTTGGCCCAGAGCAGAATTCCAACACCACACACAAAGCTCCCGCGCCCCTTGGCGCCGATCACTGAGTGATACTCGGGAGAGCAAAAAGAAAGGGGTGAGAGTGGCTACCTCAGGCGACCCCCCTCAGCAAGGTTCAGGGCGAAGGAAAGGAGCACGCATCTGCAAGGCCAGCCCCAGCCCGACGCAGGGCAACGTCTCGGTCGGGACGGACGCGGACTCACCCGTTCGGCCGGCCACTGCGTGCGCGAGGCGCTTCCACGTAGCACACGCGGCAGGAGCCCAACCGCCAGCGCAGGCCTCCGCCACTAGCCGCACTAGCCGGGACAAATTGAAGACCCTCGGCCACGCAGGTGGCTTCTGTCTTCTGGTGGGCCCTTTTGCGAGCTTCATAGTCAGCAGCCGACCGGCCACCGTCCTGGGCTGAAGAAGCAGCCGCGCCCATTCTCAAACCAGACGTCACAGCCAGGTCGAGAGCAGCCGCACCATGAAGGCCCCAGTGCGGGACGTAGACATCCGCAGGGCGGCGTCCATTGCCGTGGCGGGCACCGTCCTCAGAAGCACCATGAGGATCAAGCCGCGGTGGGAGCAAACCAGGCTTCTCGATTTCAGGGTGAAGACCAGCAGCGTTGGCCCACGTTGCGACCACGGTGCGGAGCCGGTTGTGTCGCTTTGTCCTGTCGCCCCCACAAGGGCAAACCCGTGCATGATCTCCATAGGAGTCACACACTCCGTCACAATAGGCGCAAGCAGTATCCCCCGGATGAACTTGCAGGCGGAGGCGCAAGCGGGCCATGATCCGGAACAAGACACTGTCCACATGCAGGCCCAGAGCAGCACAAGGAAGGGCTTGGAGCCACGCACCTGCTCCGGGTTCTTGAAGGAGTTGGAAATGCGCCGGGAAAGCTTCATGGCCCGGAACAAACCGAAGCAAGCTCAGCAGCTGTGAACCTGTCCACTGCCCGTGACAAATCTTGTTGTCGAAGGGTTGGTGGCGGTGGGGAAGGAACATGGTCGCTGGCAAGCAGGGATTCGTTGAGGTTGGAGAGAACTGTGTCCAAGTTGGAGTTGTAGGCAGGGAACAATGAGCAGCAGACGCTGGTCGTGGCCAGGACAGAAGCTGCGTAAGCAGCCCCACTGTGTCGAGAGACGCTGCGTAAGCCCAGCCCACCACACTTTGTAGACAGAGTGGCCTGCAAGCAAGCCCCTCGCGACAAGGCCCCCGTGCAGCAGCATTCCAGGCATTGTAGGACGGAAGAATCATAGGTTTTCAATGCGTCCACATGGAAAGGGGGAGGGGTAACCCGACTTGAATAAACCAATTTGGACCAGGAAGCACAGTGCCGGAGGAGCAGCAAAGCAGTTTGGCTATCTGGCAGCTGGCTTAAGGCATTCAAAAGGGGCTGTGTCCCGGCCGCCCGTTGCACTGTGTGCTGGTGGCAAAAAGAGGGGCTCCCAATGGCTGCGCCCAGCAGAACAAATTCGCCAGTGGTGTTGAATGGCAAACCTGTCGGGAAAAGGCCCATCGGTTCGTTCCGCTCATCATCCTGATCATGCCCTGGGTGGCCAGTTGTCTTCAGACTTTAGCAGGATTGCCCACATCAGACTACCTCGAACCTGAGTTGACCCCGGGATTGGAGCCAATCAAGAGCTGGTTGCCTTTTTTCAGTCTTGTCAGCCTAGCAAATCAGGCCAGGGGCCAAACGGGTCTTATTTGTAGTTTTATCAATATTCCACCAAAAATGTTGCGTTGGCACACGCCTGAGGTGTGGAGTACGACCTTCACCCCTACTGCCAGGCGGGGGTGAAAGAGAGGATTTGCTCATGTCTCGACGAAGCGGCACTTCTTATCAATTCACGTCGGTGAATTGAAGGTCATAGTCATAGTCTTTCATAGGAGTCTTCACTGGTCCTGGTCCTGACAAGGCTTTTGGTCAATAAGCATCCGCACCCGAAACGAAACAAAGGGTTTGGTTCGGGGCCCCTGCCACCCTTGTGAACGGCAGGGCTTCGACCCCGGACCGCCATGGTTCGGGTCGGTTCGGAGGTTCGGATCCTTATAGGAAGAGATGATCCATCTGGGGATCTGGGGAGACCGTGGCCAGTGGGTACCCACCTGGACCCCCCAACCGGTCGTCCACCGTCCGACACCAGGGTCGCTGGTGCCCGGTGGGTCTCCTGGTGCCATGACCCGTGGTCCACCAAACGCCTTCGGAGGACGCGTGTCGTCCGATGGCCAGGATCGAGAGGGGCTTTGCACCAACGTGGACTGTCAAGGGCTGACAGACTCCGAGAAAGAGATTGGATTGCCTTTCTGGCTGGGCAGGCGCCACACCACTCGGCGCTCCTCGGGGGGGTTTGGCCGAGCGCCGCGGTCCGACGACCGGAAGGAGGAGCGAGCGGTCCTCGGAAAAATCCCCAGACAGCGAACGCGTGGAAGGAGGAAGGTAGGAGGAGGCGAGTCCGTCTCTAGGTGCGACGTTTGGGTATGTGGGGATCGACATCTGGGTCCAACTTGCCAAGTTGGTGTTTGGTGTTTTGGGGTGCCTTCTGACTGCGAGTCCAGTCGTTTTACAATGGTTTGAGATAGATAGATGACCCGAGTCTGTCCTTCAGTGGGGTAGCAACTGGTGTGGGTGTAATAGAAGAGCCCACCTGCTGGTCGATGTCCTTTCTTCTAGGAGGTCTCCCTATCTGAATCCACAGCCAAAGCCCAGGGCATCCAGGCAAACCACGATGTCGCTGGTAACCAGTGGTTCCAAAGACCGCACACCATAGACCGGTTCCGAATCCCTGGCTCCTTATACAATCATATATAGTGGTTTGCCTGGGATGCACTGGGTTCAACTTATAGCCTTCATTTGGACTGAAGCTGGATAGAGTGCTACTGCTTCACCTAGCCCTGGCGGCCGTGTTTCACCACCCTCGAACGCCTCCCTGGAGGCGAAGAACAGCACTGGGGTGTCTCTCTCTCTCTCTCTCTTTGTCTCTCTCTCTCTCTCTCTCTTTGTTTGTCTGTCTGTCTGTTTGTTTGTTTGTTTGTCCCTCTGAAAGTGCCTGTTCAAAGTGCCTGAGCAATCCAGTTAGCCATCCACAGCAGGTTAGCCATCCACTTGTCATGCGAGACACTACACTGGCCGTGAGACGCGACAGAGCTAGAGCCAGCAAGCGAGGCATGCCACGAAATCACAAGTTCCCACATGTTCTACATGTGCTATACCTGGACCCTCCTGTCGGGGTGCCCTGTCTGGAAGCCGAACGGCCGGTAGTGTGGAGTAGTCCAGCCAGGACACCCCGACAGGAGGGTCCTGGTATATAAGCATCCATGGTGTTTCACTCGGATGGTGCTAACTATGTTCATTTTAGGCACCCTGAAGCGTCCCGCCCTATTAGAAACCAATGAGTTGATGTTCTTAGATGTTCTTAAACCAGTGAGGTTCATGTGGTGGAGAATTCAAAGAACATGGGCTTTTTGCTTGATTCATTGGCTTTTTCTTGTGGAGAATTGCGGTCTTTTGATTCATTGGCTTTTTGTAGGAATGCTTGGAATGGAGCATTGGTTGGTGTACATTTGCTTTCGCGCGGTGGGCCTTCAGGTGCGAGGAAGGGCAGAATACCAAGCGAGCAGAGGCCATTGCAAGAAAGGCCCTGGGGCAGGCACGCGGCTTAGTGCAGTCTCCTCCCCTTGCGAAGTATGAACCCTAAATATGCACCCCAGCCAGGAAAAGTGAATAACCTGCAAAATCTGTGAACTTGTGGAAAACGGTTAGTTTTTATAATTCAGGGACACTGGGGGATTTAGGACAGTTAGGCACAATACCACTATATATTGACAATGGACTAGTTTGTGGCACTCTTTAGTAGTTGTATGCCCTGGGGATCCAGTCGTACCTTCTCAGGTACGGTGATGTTCGACACTGTTAGTTGCCGGTGCCCAGTCGGCTCCAGTCCTGTTTCCTGGCGTGTTCGCCGCGCAACACGCGCAGGAGAACTTGAAGAACCACGTCATGGTAGACAAGGACGGTGTTCGACGGCCGATCCAGTGAGCCCTCTATGTTGATACGACGCATGGTTCCTATCCCAGACGCGACAGTTGGGGACTGGAATGCCGAGAAACGGCCAGGGGTGGTGCCAGGGGGGTCAATGGCATATATGGCAGTCCCATGGAGCGTTTGGGTATACAAAGAACCAGGAAGATGTTGGTCTCCCCCAAGAATTGAAGTATCAATGCATGTATATAGGTACAATTACTGTATACTATATAAAACATCTTTAATTCAATACCATGCAACCCATGACATTCGAAAGACCAGAAATCACTAACGGTCGACCGACTGCAGACACTTCGGACGGTCGACCGACGCATTCTGCAGGAGTTGCTGACGAGCAACTTCAAATGTGGCTCCGGCAGCGGCATGTGCAAACCCAACCCCGACGGCGGGCCGCCGCTTGGCCGATGACGGTGAGCTAGAGCTCGTCGGCGCGAGCTTCGGAGGTAGGGAATTGAGGTGGCTGAGAAGTGCCATATGGCGCGGCTGAAACGAAACGACATGAGGCAAAACCCCTCATCCCCCACTAGCAACCCCAATTATATAACTATAGCTGGAATTTGAGAGATCCAGTAGTAGATAGTAGATTGTACATCTAGAATGTATTAGTTATGTAGATGTAGATGTAGTAGTAGCAGTAGTAGCCGTACTTGTACGTTGTACCACCAGCAAACCTCCGAAGAGGTTAAACAAGGATCCGAAAACAGTAGCAGTAGTAGAACATAGCAGAACAATAAGAAAACAAAGCTCAATTGTTCGTTCCATGCACCCCAAGTTGGTGCATTAACCCACCCCCTACACAATTAATTCATTGCCCTTGGGCTTGTGCACTACTTCCTTGAAAGTTGTTTGGAGCAATGAATTCCATGAGTTGTAGTAAAGGGTGTTTGAAACAGGTTTTCCGGTCAGAGTGCGAGGAATCAAGCAATCCTTAGGAGATGTTAAGCAAGGGTCTGAAAGCGCCACAACAGCTGAACAAAATCGATAAACAAAGCACACCTCAAAAGGAAACACGACCTTGTGCGAATTGTTGGTCCAACAACTATATGCACGGTGTGGGAATAACGTCGCAAAAATGTTCCATGATTCCCTCCCAATTGACAGGATTCAACATTACTTACCCTTCAACAACGTTTGTGGTTCAAACTCTGAAAGGTACACTCCCTGAAATCCTCATGGACGTGGATGGCACCCCCGACACGACACTCTGCACGAGGATGTCAGGCGGTCTTCCGAACTCAGGATCCATGCCGTCTGGGAGTGTGTACTGTGTACTGTCCCTACACCTCCAGTCGTACCTCCTCAGGTTCGGTGCTATTAGACCCTCCTGGCACCCACCCACCCCGGTCCCACCTTCGAAACGAAGGTACGACTGGAGGCCAAACGGGTGTGTGCATCGCTTGGCCCGGGGGAGTGCCAACTTGGCCATAAGACCCAACGGAACATCGGCCAGGGATCCACTGCCTGCCCAGGGATCCACTGCCACCTTTTCAGGTACTTGGACTGTGCAAACATACATAAAAGTGTCTCCACTCACCACCTCAAGTAGTTTGACGTCATATCCCTCTGGCTCCTGGCCCATATCCTCAGAAGGTGGTTAGACCCCCATGGCACCCACCCCAACCACCGAACCTCAGGAGCTAGTTGGAGCCCTAGGGGAACCGAAAGCCGTGGCATCTGTGTGATTCACTGTCCATGAGTCGAGGTACTGCTCGCGGCAGTTTGGAGGAGTTTGCACCCCGCTGGCGCCCTAGTGGAGGCGCTGCAATCAACTCGCAGCCTTCACCTTTCCAGCGTTCGTGGCTGAGGTGCTACATCCCCGGAACCAAGGCAGGCGGTCGCGACATCGGCGTTCACGGACCGTGCATGTGAAGAACGGACTGCGCGGACCGGTCTTGGCAATTTAAAAACCTATTCCCCGGTCCAGTACGGGCTTCCAGCAACGCTTTCTTGGTGGCTGTGCAGCCAGGATGGCCCAGGATGGCCTGCGTTCGCGTATTCTTTGGAAGAAACATCCCTTGACGAACCAAGCACGAACTGAAGGTTCCAGGCCTTCGGCGTGATGTTTTGCATCAGTATGTGGACTTTACACGTTTCTGAGCACATGAGGAACCTGCGCACCAGGTATATAGTGGTTTCTGAGGAGATGGCAAATCACCAAATTGGGTGATTTAGATGGACCCCCATCTAAAGGACATGTGGGGTGCCATTTGCTTTATATAGCCAGCTCCTGAGGGGCCCTAATCCTGCAGGGTTCGAGCGATTGTGTTGAAGCCGCACCGCCTCCGCCAGCTTCCCTTCCAAAACGCTGCACAGTTCGTGACATGTCCGCCGGGGCTCTTAAGGCGATGTGCGCTTTTCTGTGGGCCCGGGCTTGGTGATGGTGGGTTTAGTCGTGCAAGTGTTGAGTTTAGTTGGTGTGATCAGCCAGGCTCTGTGCACCAGGATCCACAAAAGGGGTGGTTGATGGACACCGGTCAACCTCATCTCAGGCTATTAGACTCCAGTTTGTCCTAACTGTTCCTAACTGCTTTTTCCCAGACACTCCATGATATATTTTACCTACATTCACCCCTGAAACCATCCCAACGTATGTATAACTTCAGGAGGAAGAACATTTGGTAGCAACTTCACGCGAGAAACCCACAACATGACTTCTTTTTCCCAATGGAATTCCAACGGACTTATTTCCACCCTGAACCAAAATATGTAGTTTGGGGTGGACATTAAAGAAATTAGTCCGCCCGAACTCCACTGTGATCCCTTGTAGAATTCTTGAAGGGGAAAGGGTTAAAATAGTGGTTGTAATGTATTCAATGTAATCACAGGCTTCCAACAGAGGTATCCAGTGACCTGAACTAGGACCCGTCACCTAGGGTACCTAGAGGATAGTCTAGTTTGGCTTCTGACCCACCTCTGCTGCTTGGCAAACCCATTCTGCTCCTGACGGTCGTCAACCTCTGTCGGCTTCCAGACGGGTCGTGTATTCCTGGCGAAGCACCACGGTGGCTGCGCTGAGGTTTGACGTCCTGGCCATCGGCGGCTATACCCCACCACAGGGCACCGAGTGCAGCTGGCCGGAGATGAAGGGCAGCCAGCCGCCTTTTGGGGCTTAGGGTCCTACCCAGGAAAAGTTGATCACTTTTTGTTTTTTTTGGGGGGTTATTATGATTAATATGGTTTATACTTAATTTCACCATATTTCACCATCAATTCGATCTCGATCTCATTATCAGATGGAACAGATGGAAAAAACGGCTTGGCCAATTTGCTTTCCACAGAACAGATGAGCAGCTTCAAAAACCTCTATGATGGAAAGTGTGCAAACTGTAATCTCACATTCTTTAAAAGCCAAAACGCAGGTCGCGAAAGGTTCGCGAAAGCCCCGCGAAAGAACCCCAGAAGAACAGCGTCGCGAAAGCTTTCGCGAAAGTCGAATTTCTTGTGCATGTCGTGTTGTTTATGTGGGTGACCATATTTTTATGCAGGCAGCCGCAGCAGGCCAGCCAGCCAGCCAGCCAGCCGCAGCACACCAGCCAGCAGCAGCAGCAGCGCTGAAGAGCAAGTGTTTCAGGGGAAAATCGAAAAGCCCAGACGAATTTCCGCGAAACCCGCGCGAAAGCCTCGCGAAAGAACCGCGAAAGTCGAAAATATCCGGGAAAGGTATCTGGCCCCAGCAAAAAGTTTCAGCAAGTTTTCCTCCTCTTCTGATGACAACAATAATACTTGAACGGTGCTGCTACAACTCCTTGTGCCAGGATGTTGCCGGAAAGAAATTTGTTCAGTTTTGACCACCCTAAGGACACTTATATCGGATAACTTATACCCTGGAAGTCCAAAGACTATATTTTGACCGGCTGAAGTAAAGGAAGTTCCCTTTCAGGTCCCCTAAAGACCATTCTTTTTATGGTCTTTGACTCCCAGGGTATATAGATCAATCACTTTATTGTACAATATCCCAATCGAATTTCCCAATCGAAACGAATCGCCGCGAAAGCCGCCGCGAAAGCCCCACATAACACCACACCTTCCGCGAAAGCCAGAATGCAGGCCGCGAAAGCTCCGCGAAAGCTTTGCGAAAGCAAACCTGGATTATACAAAAAAGTAATAGGGGTTTTCGAAGCTGCTCAGATGGGAAGTCAATTGTGATTCCTGCGATTTGGCACCGTTCTTTTCCAGTACGCCAAGCCAGATGCTCGATTTGGCCGCCACGGCCACGGTCACTCCGTGCCACGAAGCATCTCGGAGGACCATCTCGGAGGACCATCTCTCGGTCGATGGACCGCGGACCGCGTGCCACGACGGCGATGTCCGCGAAGCGCCGCCGAGGCAAATCGCAGGATGCTGCGGACATTTGTTGCCTCTACGGCATTGGCGGTGGCTGCAGCAAGTCCTACGCCGACGGACCGGTCACCCAAGCCGTCGCGAGCCCGCGTCGGTCTCGCCGCTCGGGGGTCTTTTGTATAGGCATCCGCGGTGGAGGTTGGTGTTGGACGGAAAGAGAGTGGTCGGTCTTGGCCGGAGGGGTGCTAATGTGCAAAGTGTGGCTATACCCTATTGGAATTGTTTGCAACAATAGTTCCTCACAGAAGGAGTTCAGAGATGCTTGACATGTCTGAGACGGATGCATTGGCAGTCTCTTCACATCCCGCCACGTTCGATCCGAGTCGTGCCCGACTGACTTCTCGATATGCGCTGGTCGTGCTTTCCTCGTCCTGCGGTTTCACTCTTTCACTCACACGTCGACGAGCATCCCATCGATGTTAAATGACCTGAACGTTCGGACCCGGAAAACCTGGGGTAAACTAGGTCCTGCGGATGCCCAGCGATGGAAAACCGGTCGTGCGACCAGGATCCTCGGCTGACTTGACGGTGGCAGGCAGAGCTGGGTGAGCTCGAGTGTTTTTGAAGTGCCGGGCCCTGGTCGGATATTACAGCCCCGAGCAGAGGTGATTCGAGGGATCCATGAAAACCACCCCGTATAAGATTGGTATACAGTGTTGCATGATGTTGCAGCATATTACTAGATGTGTGATGGATTCGACCATGGTGTGCACTGCGATGTATGCCCCTGAGGACTTTATAAATATATCGAATTAATTTAGACTCTTGACTCTTGATTAATAAACCCCCCATATGAAGAGGACTTCCAATTCAAGTGGAAGGGTTTATTAATCAAGAGTCTACATCAGTTATTTCAGCCCCTGGCATGTTGGTGAGGAAAGGAAGATAAGCTCCGAGTCACTCACATGGAAGTGGAACACCAGCCCACCCGGTTTGTAGAGGAAGCATGCTAATGCTCATCCCAACTCGGGGCCCCATCCACGTAACCATTCCCAGACACTCCTAATGGGACTGGAATATATGCATACATTGACCCTTCAAAATCATACATATGGCATACATGAGTGTCTGGGATTGGATCGAGGGTACTTTGTTTGAAGGCGCCACGTTTGTAGACGAACGTCGGCGTCGAGCGGCTGACAGACGACGCTGACGGACGGACCCCTCACGGCGAGGCTTCTTAGGGGTGATGGCTGCGTCGCTGAAGGACAGGGAGGGGGTGCCTCGGGGGTTCTCTCGTGGTGTTAAGAACTGGGTTCTCTCGGGGTCTATGTGAAGTTCATGTAGGCTTGGATTATTCGCACGCTCCGCGATGATGGTAAAACCCCCTTTCATATAGATGGGGGATTTGGTTATATAAGCTTCAAGATTTCAAGTCAAACCAGCTTGCAGTCGCCCTGCTCGGTCCAAGTCAGCAGTGAACGCTTCAAGGCAGTCCTGGCAGTTCTTCACTGCCACTTTTTGGACCATAGCTCAAGAATCCCTTGATTGATCAAACACTATTATAGTGAATTTAACAATCTATAAGATATCGTTTCTGCCTTCGGAGCTGTATCGCTTTTCAGGACCCGGATCAGATGTACAACTTCGCCGTGCATTGGATCCAGGCCACACGGAAAGCCGCCGAAGTACGCCACTAGGAGCAAAGGCCATCGCTACTATAGGAGCAAGGACGCTACTAGGGGCTCCTGGCCGTACTACTAGGAACAAGGACGCGGTCTCGGGAAGACTCTCTGTGCTTTGGCCGATCGGCCATCCACTGGAAGGGACATCCAAGAGTCACATGGAGGGAGTTGGGTGTAGCGCATGGGGGGTGTGGAGGTGAGGCTGTCACGGGGCACCCCGGAACCGGCACGGATAACACCCCTTTGAGGCTCCTGCGATGTGACATGGTTTTGTACACCCGGGAAGATGAACGGCATGAACCCGGTGGTTTTTGAGGGTTCCGTGTGTTCATCTTCAAGGGGTATCAAAGTAACTTTTCCAATCATAGCGCCTCCTTGGGATGTTTTGATGACACTTAGTTATAGATTTTGTTCAGTCAACCATAGAAAGACGCTCCTCGAACATAGAAAGTGCCGGTGAGGAGAATGGAGGAAAAGTTGAGAAGGAGGCCTTGGTGGCGGGAGCACGGACGGGAGCACGGAGAGGTTCAGAATCGTTTGATTTCGTAATGACATACCACAGATCATCATAGATGTGGCTTGGAGTTCAAATCAATCTTCTCAAGCTGTAGTTGGGGCTATATCCTTTGGCAGGTGCGCTTTGTTTCTGGCTCCAGCAGGAAAAGACACGTACTTTTAAACATCTAAATGACCGATCTGGAGTACTGTAGCGTTTTTCTTTTGTTGAATGATAAAGTTTTTCTTTTGTTGAATGATAAAGTATAGGCACTTGACCTTTCAAGAAACAAAACATATCAAAGCATTGAAAAAGAACGAGGACAGGAGACCAGGGCATGTTGAGAAAACACGGCTTTTTGTTGGGACTCTTTGTCCGTTGACATGTCTTCAAACGGTCTGGACGGGTCTTGAACTCCCCAGCAACGGGTCTGGCGTGACGTACTTTTAGACACTGCTTTCTGCGGTCGATGGTTCCTGTCGATCACCTCCCGAACTTGGCAAGGTTCGCAGTTGCAGACGTTACTAGCTGGCAAGTTCGGGTGACTTGGTTTACAACTTCCCGAACTGGGTGAATCCTTGCAAATCTGGTGATGATATATCCAACAAAGGTGAAGTGACCTTATTAATAGGGCCCGTCACCTGGGCGAACTATAGGATACGTCTAGTTGGGGTTCTTCAACCTTTGTTGGTATGTCTTGTTTTCCCGGCTGGAGCCGATCCACAAGTGTCCTTCGTTCGACGTCCACCGCCATCAATCGACCGCCGGTAGCAGGCTTCGCCGCGGTGGGTGAACTGATGGATCCTGAGAACTGGGCTTAGACGGAAAAACTGATCAAAGACGGAAAGGTCTGATCTCCAACTGATAGATCTCCATCAGGTCCTGACCAACACGATGGTATGCTCTTAGATGATTCATCCCCCCATGTACCTGGGAACCTTCAGGACTCGTGACCGAACTTAGTTCGGTCACCAGCGTAAGTTCGGTCACAAGCTGGGGCCTGGAAGTTCGGTCACTTAGTAATTAAGGCACTCCCTCCAATTCGAGGTCACGAACTGAAGAGGTCGCTGGTAAAGGTTGACATTCACTTCTAAGATAAACATATCAAAGGAAGGTGAAGCAGAGGTTTCACAACCCAGCTTTTCATGTGCACCGCCTGGAGCCCTTGGAAAGACCAGGTTCCCCTGTGGTTCAGACCATGGGGATGGTCCGAGGGATGGTGAAGACGAACGTTCCACTTGGCAGGACCAGTTGAAAGAGGAAGTCTATTGGATGTGGCGAATTCATCCCAGCAAGCGTGCGGCGGAGGACTGGACCCGACCTTCCTTGGTCATTGTCCATTGCTACTAGTAACTAGAACGCTACTAGGGGCTCCTGGCCTTACTACTAGGAACAAGAAGCTACTAGGGGCTCCTGGCCTTACTACTAGGAGCAAGGACGCTACTAGGGGCTCCTTACTACTAGGAGCAAGGACGCTACTAGGGGCTCCTGGGGCCATACTACTAGGAGCAAGGACGCTACTAGTGGCTCCTGGCCTTACTACTAGGAGCAAGGACGCTACTAGGGGCTCCTGGCCTTACTACTAAGGACGCTACTAGGGGCTCCTGGCCTTACTACAAGGAACAAGAAGCTACTAGGGTCTCCTGGCCTTACTACAAGAAGCTACTAGGGGCTCCTGGCCTTACTACTAGGAGCAAGGACGCTACTAGGGGCTCCTGGCCTTACTACTAGGAACAAGAAGCTACTAGGGGCTCCTGGCCTTACTACTAGGAGCAAGGACGCTACTAGGGGCTCCTAGCCTTACTACTAGGAGCAAGGACGCTACTAGGGGCTCCTTACTACTAGGAGCAAGGACGCTACTAGGGGCTCCTGGCCATACTACTAGGAGCAAGGACGCTACTAGGGGCTCCTGGCCTTACTACTAGGAGCAAGGACGCTACTAGGGGCCCCTGGCCTTACTACTAGGAGCAAGGACGCTACTAGGGGCTCCTGGCCTTACTACTAGGAACAAGAAGCTACTAGGGGCTCCTGCCCTACTAAGGACGCTACTAGGGGCTCCTGGCCTTACTACTGGGAACAAGAAGCTACTAGGGGCTCCTGGCCTTACTACTAGGAGCAAGAAGCCTACTGGGCTCCTGGCCTTACTACTAGGAGCAAGGACGCTACTAGGGGCTCCTGGCCTACTACTAGGAGCAAGGATGCAAGGACGCTACTTGGGCTAGGGGCTCCTGGCCTTAGTACTAGGAGCAAGAACGCTAGGAGCAAGGACGCTACTAGGTGCTCCTGGCCTACTACTAGGAGCAAGGACGCTACTAGGGGCTCCTGGAGCAAAGGGCATCGCTACAAGGGCATTGTACTAGGAGCAAGAATGCTACTAGGGGCTCATTGCCTACTACTGCGAGCAAGGACGCTACTAGGGGCTCCTGGCCTACTACGAGGAGCAAGGACGCTACTAGGGGCTCCTGGCCTACTACTAGGAGCAAGGACGCTACTAGGGGCTCCTGGCCTTACTACTAGGAACAAGAAGCTACTAGGAACAAAAGGGCATCGCTACTAGGAGCAAGGAAGCTACTAGGGGTTCCTGGCCTTACTACTAGGAACAAGAAGCCACTAGGAGCAAATGGCATCGCTACTAGGAGCAAGGACGCTACTAGGGGCTCCTGGCCCTACTACTAGGGACAAGAAGCTACTAGGCATGAGATCTGCAGAATCTGAAGAATAGGTGGCACCAGCCCCAGATGGTTTGTATATAGACCCCACATGTTAATCCAGAAAACAGCGTCTAAAACTGTGTGCCAATCGACTTCTCGGAGCGCCACTCACCCTTCTCCAACCAAAAGCGGCCGCGCTTTCCAGCGCGCTGGCGCGCTCCGCATGCTCCGCATCCCTGGTTTGCATTGCCTCAGCTGTTGAAGCTTCGGGATGTTGCGCAGGAATGGGACAAGTTTCAGGAGAATCTCAAGGCCCAGGGTTTTCGGGCCCAAGGCTGTCCCAGTCGATGGATGGATGGGACATGCATGTGGTTTTGTTTGTTTTTATATACTCTTGTTTTTTTTGCGTGGGCGTGGATGGTTTTACAGATTGGGATGTTCTTGATATGTTATAATACCTGGACCTCCCAACTGTGCTAAATATACATTTTTTCATGTCGATAGAGACCAACAAACAGGCAGAAATGTTGCATAATTCGAACAATTTCTGTATCATATGAATCCCCTTCCAGTGATGAATATTTGAGCTGTTCATGGGGGCTGCATCTAGCCCATTTCTGTCCATTTCATTCCATTCTTCAGAAACCAGGCACGCCCTGAAGGAATCATGGGCCAGCGTGGATGGCATGGCCCCAATAGCCCCGAGTTCGGATGACCCTTGCACCAAACAAATAGATAGTAACATATATAGTAACAGAACTCCACTGCTTTTGTTCGGAGAGTGCCACGGGAGGTTATACAAGTGACCCAAAAGGATTCCTAAGTTGCTTAATTTTTCCCTTTTAGAGGGACGGTTTTCATCACTCAATACACTTCTCCTGAAGTCTACTTTCATCCGGTTCCTTTTCAGTGATGTGGCTCCATAGCAAGATTCAAAAGAACACCCAACCCAACCCAACCCAACCCAACCCACCTGCACATCCTACCCAGTCAGTGGATAACCTTTAACCTTTTGTGGGGATTGAGTGTCCACCCCACGTTACTAACAGAAAAAAAGGAGCTGAGTTTGGTTATATTTAATATATATATATATAACCCTCTTTGTTAAAAAAGGTTGAAACCAAAACAGCGCTGAAAGGGAGTCCCGCCTTCCGCGTTCCGCTCGCCTGGAGGCCAGCAGCGCGGTGAGTTTCCCCGACGAGCCCGGCAAGCCCACCGACGAGCCCGGCGAGCCAACGGAGGAACCGCCAGGCTCGTCGTCCGAACCGGGCGGCTCGCGGGGTGGCGCGATCCGCCGGTGCCGGTCGTTTTGGGTGGCGCGGCGGCGCGGATGTTTGTTCAGCGAGTTCGGAGGAGGTGATGAATACACAGAAATGGCACCGACTAGAATGACTTGTGCATAATATATTTGCTTCCAGGTGATGTGCCTGTGTGCGAGATTCCTCTAAAGATCGGGAACGGGGGGTGCTTGGCGCGAACGTGCAGAAACATCGCACCGTTTAAGCATTCTTTGTGCCAGCTATGGCTTTGGGTAGCAAGGCACTTGACGTGCTTGGCACTTGGCACTGAACTTGATGGTTGCTGCATAGTTCTGAACACGCAAATCCAAGATATGCCTGCAGACCCTCCTTTGTTTTGCTTGTTTCCAAATCGAACCAAGCTGGACTCATCAAGCCCAGACATGACCACTCCATGGGGCTGGACTACCAATGCCAGGGGTGGTGCCAGAAAGGGGTCCATGGAGCCTATGCCAGTCCCAGGCAGTTCGTGTCTGGGTACTGTCAGTTAGGGTGGTGCCAGGGGGTAAATATGCCAGTCCCACGGAGTGTTTGGGAGGGGGGCAATTTTCACTCTGACTGCACTCTCGCCCAAACACGGCTCCGGAGGTGAGACCACGGTCTCCCCAGGCGCCCAAACAACCCCTTCTCCTGGTGCCGTGGCTGCGGAGGGGGTGACGAGAAATGTGGAGGGCGGGGGGGCTTCAAGTGGTGGAACAGTTGCAGCTCCAAGGACTCCAACGTGAGGTGAAACAACGGAGGTTGACCAGCGCCTACCCGCGTGTATACGGTGTCTTCGGTCCACAAATATCGGTGGCCGCGGGCCGTCAAGTCATGTCTACAATCCCCTAGGGGTCCAGTCGTACCTCCTCAAAAGGCACGACTGGACCCTCCTGGCACCCACCCCAGTCCCACCTTCTCAGAGGGTACGACTGGATCCTTAGGGATCAATTGTGGAAGCTGGTTGCTTAAAAGGACTATGCCGGGCCCCTCCTGACTTCCGCGGCGAGGGTGTACTGTTTAGCAAAAGAGAGTATGATTCCGTAGCTGCAACCTTCACAGCAGAATCCTAGTTTGCACTGGTTTTCCTGTTTCCGAAGAAGCAGAGCTCCATTTCAAGAGCATGTTACTTAAATCCAACCGGTGCTTTTGGTCGCCATCGGCAAGAACAGGTGATCCACTTGCAGCTAGTGTTTCAAGTGGTCCAAATATTGCGACGGGGGCACCGGGAGACAGCACGCCTGGGGCGTCTTGCGGTTGGGTTTGTTTGGGACTATCGTTGTGTTTTGTTTCTTTCTTTTTGGGCCGGGAGGCACAGCCGAAAGATGCTCTTCCGGCACACGGATGCTCTCAGGTCCAGATGATGAGCCGCCTGCGCGGCCCTTCCCCATTTGGCCTGGCCCCCGAGCTTGTCCAAGCGCAGAACCGCCTGATGTCTCGGGTTTGTGGTGCATTTACAGTCGTGCTGGGCCGTGGTTTCAGCTGCGCAAGCCCTGGGGCAGCCCTTGGGGTCCTGGTGGATTCCCCGATCGGGCACCTGGCCGCCGCACACAGCTCTGAATGAGAACCACACAGTCCGAGTTGGTGGGTTTTGGCAGGTTTGACTGAGGCTTCTGTTCACGTTCGGGCCTTTGGGTGGATCCCGTTGGGGGCAAATCCAGGAGATGCATACCAACAAAGGTTAAGTGACCTTATACGCCTTATAGGGCCCTACTGGGCTAACTATAGGATAGTCTATAGGGTTCTTCAACCTCTGTTGGTAGATCTCAAAATATCTCAAAAGATGGAGATCCTTTGGTTCGCTGCCTTTGGTTCGCTTGTGCCACTCTGAGATCATCTGAGATCACTAAGAGCATGCGAGGCTCCAGCTTCGTCAGTGCCCTTTGGGCAAAGGTCGCAAGCTGTGCACCAACTGGAAAGACACCTGATTGACACCCATATGCCAGCACCACCCGTTTTGGTGGTGATTGGATGGAAAAGACATACGGTAGGATCCGGGGTCTATCAACCACTGGCCCTGGGTGGTGGTAGTGGCAAGAAGGAGCTATTTTTAGGATGTCTTTGTTGCTGTTGGCACCAGGCTTTGAAGGATCCCGGCCCTTTCGGCACCGGCCTTTTATTTCTGATATTTCTGCAACTCTTGCGATAGGTATTCTGCCCAACAGCGGCAGAGTCGCGCAAATCCTTTCCGCTCCAAACCTTTCCCAACGCTCCATGACATTTCCGGGTGGTGGGTTCAGGCATATATTCCAGTGCCATGGGTTGTGAGTGCTGAAATCATTGACTTAAGGAATTACAGCCGTTTGCAGACCGTGTCGACTCGACGGCCAGGTTTCTGAGTGAAGAGGTTGTCAAAAAAAACACTACGGCTCCTGGCTCATGTCCCTGGAAGGTGGTATTCGACCCTTTGGCATCCACCCCAACCACCGAAACGGAGGGGGCGGCCAGGAGCCCGATCGGAAATAGCATGCTTGAATATACTTGACACAATTTAGGGCTCCAAGTTCAGGTCAACCTCCGAACCCACCTCAAATACGTGCAAGCTGATGCGGCTTGCCCTTTGGAAGAGTTGAGAGACCAAACTTTACCAAACTGCTTCAGGACGACCGAGGAGGGGTTGGGAAGGAGATAGACATGTGCGGCATGTGCCTTCCAATAGTTGTTTCAAGTGGATTCACTCACAACGCATTTGGAGCCCTAGAAACCCTAGGGCCTCAACCACTTCTCCTGAGAAGATGGTTGGGGTGGATGCAAGGGGGTCTAACCACCGAACCTGAGGATATGGGCAAGGAGCCCTAGGAAAATTAGTCTTGCAAGGATGGTGTTGGAGACCAGTCGCTGCAGAAAGGGCTCCGCACAGCTCGGGGCCCTTCACCATTTCCTTCTGGTCCATGAACTCATCACGCTTTGGGGCAACAGCTGCGACTTCTCCACAGTTTTTCTCCGCCATGTTTTCTTTCCCCCAACGGCATGGACTCATGGACTCACGCAAAACTCCAAGTATATGGGACAAACCGGGAAGTTCGATCAAGAGCTATTTTCTACCGAGAATTTCAGACTTGTGCGACTCGTAGGGAATGAGGGAATGAACCACCCCTGTAGGCCCCTCTGGATCCATTCCCATATTCATAGGAGGAGAATGGAGTGGTTTATATAGGAGCTCCTTCGGCTCCTCTGAATGAGGGAATGAACCACCCCTGTAGGCCCCCCCAATGAGCCGAAGGAGCGCCTTGAAAACACCAACCAGGTTGGTTGCCCCTGGTCGTGAACAACACAGGTATATGGGACCTGGCATGTGCGCCCCTCTATTCTCCCTACATGGACATCAGAATCTAAAAACCTCCCTACCCTCCCCATCACACTCTCCCATATCCAGTTTTCCTAGCCCCAAAAAGACTCCAAGTCGGGGTTGCCGAGGGGCTCGAAGTGGAGTCTTTCAGGTGTTTTTTAAACATGAATCAGGTGGGCAATGCAACAACACAATACAGTATTTGTTTGTGCTAACGGGTTTTGTAACGGTCCCATGTTTTTTTGCGTTTGATCGTATTTGGGGTGGGGTGTGGCGGGGGTTCAGTTGGGGTAATGGCAAACGTTGCACATACTACGCAGCTGCTTTTTCCCGGGGCTGACTTGCTTTGTGAGAACATAGGGTGGGCTGGTGGGTGGGTGGGGGTGGGGTCAGGTAATGACAAACGTTGCACATGCTATGCAACTGCTTTTTCCCGGCTCACGGGGTTCTCGATGGATATAACCAAAGGTGCCACTGATTGACTTCTGACTGTTTACGCACATCTACATTCTACATCACTTGAAGAGAGCGTCCCGCGAGGCCCACCTCACAAGACTTTGCTACTCACAAGAGTGTGTCTCACAAGGATAGACAATTTTCAAAGAAGTTGCAAGGTCGTGTCGTGTCACGGTTCTCGAGGTCAACCGGGACGTATGCGACCTGTCATGTGGGGGGACCTCAAGCTGCTCATGCCCAGAGAGCTGGCTTGTAAACATGGCCAGACTGATTTTGAATGAGCAGTAACCATAGAGGATCGCTGAAAGCAGTAGGACACGGGGGCGTTGTCGAAGAAGGGGTGCAATGCGTGCTTGAAACCCAAACACATGCACCCAGACCTGCAAACACTGTAAATCGGCTGAAAGCAGTCCCGAATTGGTCGAATACCACAACTTTGGGACCGTTACGGAGCCCGTTACCTTGTTTGTTGCTTGATTTGTTTCTATGGCAATTGGTTTTTTTTTTCAGTTTCTTTTCTCTTGATAGGGATCTAAGTAGCTCCTTAGAAAGTGTTTGAACCCTCCAGCAGAAGTGTCTCCAATCACCTTCTCAGAGGGTATGTGGATCCATATAGAGGGTCTAAGTTTGGCACCTTTCTTCTCACTCCAAGACTTCAGCTTGCTCAGCCCTTGATGTGCAAAATTGTGCAGTTGTATTTTGTGAGCAGTCCTCCGACATGTTAAAGTCGACGCAACATGGACTTGGACATCTCGAACATCGGGTGCTGCTGTTTTTGCTTTGTTTCCGTTGAGTCCGAAGGTGGGTTGCGGGATTTGTGCAATGAGAAATAGTATTGAGTGGTGTCCGTATTAAACATGTTGGTTCTATTAGGATCTATTAGGCGACCTTTTTGATCCTTTTTGACCTCAGCGTCATCTTGTGGCATTTCACCTGTACAGGGTCAAGCTAGCGAGTGGCAAGTTCTCAAGTTGGCATCAAAAGCTTCAAAAGGGAAACCAGACAACCAACAAGCATCGGCAAACTAAAATGGCTCCGCGCCCAGGAGCACAAAAATACGACTTCCAACTTGTGCTGCGTCATTGGCTCGGCTACTGCAGCTCCGCAATGACAGAGACCCCTAATGACAACATCTCCAGCCTTTCACGAGCTGACCAATACCAGGTAGGTCGTGCCTGGTCAGTCTCCTGCTGCCATGACCGACAGAGCCATGCCCTCCTCCTCCAGTTTTGGGCGTTGGCTGTGCAACCCATGAGGGCTAAGTGGTGCAACGCTAGACTTTTTGGAGCATGTAGCAGATGTGCAGATTGCCGGCTTTACTTAGGGCAATTTCTATATTCCCCATGTGGGTATTCTCCGTTTCCCAAAGCAGGTCAGTATGCTACATGCCACACATAGGCCATGGGAACAGCTACATCGCCCCAAGCTTGTACGTATAGAGCGCGTGTGTGGCCATGACAGTGTACATACCGCGTGTGATCGTGGACCGCTGAGGACCATTGTCGCCGCCGTGGGTGCCGCCGCGTTCTTGGTCGCGGCCCGGAGCCCGAGCGAAGGAGATCGAAGGCAGGCGCGATTTGATGCGGGCTGCGTACTGCAGTTGGTTGTGAGGGGTCTTGCAATTCGATTGGCACCAGGGTTTGCCAGGTGGTAGTTTCGCGATTGCTGAGACAGAGGTTCTGATTGCATTAAAGAGACATTAAAATACGGAGGGCCGAAGGCTCGGCTGAAGGTCCATATTGCGAACGATGTATTAGGGGTGTGAGAGTGGGTGTGAGTTGTAAGCACTGTAAGCGTGGTTGCGTTGTGTGCATATTGGGAAGGGTGAGCCCAAAGTCTGCTGGGGGAGAGCGAAAGGTTGCATTGCAAAAAAGAGAGCGGGCGTGCTTTGGAGAGCACACACTAGCTTAAAATCGATCAAAAAATACATACCACGCAAATTTTAAACAACTGCTCTGAGACCTAGACGAAACGCATATTTTCCTATCTTCCTACACACTGGTTCAAAACCTACTGAAAAGACTGTAAGAACCAAGCGAAATTTCAACACATGCGCTGAGACCAAGACGGTTCGCACATTTTCCTGTTGCCTATGCAAAACATCTATGTGCAATATGGTGCAATGACAGTGTGTAAATCATTGATAAGCATTATTAGTTTGACTCGTCTTTGTTCAATAGCAATAACTGCTTGGTTATTTGTACGCATGTGTTGCCAATATCAGTCAAAGCTGTTTGGCTTTGAATCTTGCAAGGATTGATATCAGATATGAAAACTTCAGCTTCTACACTAACCCCTCAGCCACTTCACCTTGATCCCAAAGGACCTTTTCTATTCTTCCATCTATGCTTTAATTTCTTTGATGTCCTTGGTTCATAGGCAAACAAGCAATCCAATTACTTTACTTCGTTTTACTTCGACTGGTCCCCACCATGACATTTCAATTTGATCAAAACTCTGGCATATATTGAAATATTGTTTTGACATTCTTGTTAGCATTTCTTTTGATATTCTTTCTGGCGTATCTTCTGGCATTCTCTCTGATATATCCTTTGACATTCTTTCTAGCACAGCTTCTGACATTATTTCTGGCATACTTTCTGGCATCTCCTTTGACATTGATCTTGGCATATCTTCTGACATTCTTTCTGGCATATCTTCTGACATTCTTTCTGGCGTATCTTTTGACATTCTTTCTGACAATCTATTCTGTCTGGCATATCTTCTTACATTGTTTCTGACATTCTTTCTGGCTTTCTATCTGGCATATCTTCTCACTCGCGGTTGAGGTCTGACGGGGAACGCTGCTGTCGGGAGCTGGTGGTTGAGGTCCGGCGGGGAGCTGGCGGTTGAGGTCCGGCGGGAAGTACTGCCGTCGGGAGCTGGCGGCTGAGGTCCGGGGGGAACACTGCCATCTGGAGCTGGTGGTAGAGGAGACGAGGAGACTTGAGGCAACCGACATAAAGTCTAACAACCCTCACCTGACAGGTGGGGAAGTAACACAGGTTTCATTGCTGTATGACTTTGGCTTTGGCAAGAGCCATGACAAGGCAACCAAAAAGAAATGCATATTATGTAATTATATATACATATCATTTGTTCAAGTCACATAGAAATCAATCAAACTTCTTGTGCCTAGTCTACCTCCTTACCTTCTTAGAAAGAGCTAAGCCAAACAAAACAACTTGACCAAGAAAAAGCAACCTTCCTTCTTTCGGTGTTCAATGTTAAGGCACGTTTGATCGTGTAGAACACCTTAAGCAAGACAGCTACAACCTACTGGAGCAATAAAAACACTTATTGAGACAAGATTCCAGAAGAAAAAAATTGTTGGCTGGATAGAAGTTAATTGATGCTGTTGCAATTTGGTCTAGGTCATCTGTTTCTTTAGTAATGCGGTCCTTTTCTTTGGATTTTTAATACTCTAGCATGCGGGTTCCTTTTGGTGCTCAATGTTGAATGACTTTGTGCGCAGGGTAAAAGTTAAGCAGAACATACATAACCCTATTGAAACAATTGGAAAGCGTTTGAAGCCTTTTGAGTCTACGCCTCACAAAAAACTAGGTTTTCAGCTGTAGTTTTGCTTCAACTGTTCAGACCAGGCCAGCAGAGGTTTCGAGGGAGTACCAAAAAAACAAAAACAATACAAAATACAAACAAACACATAAAACAAAAAACAATGCTTGCTACAACATGATGGCAAAACACACAAAAAAGATCAGAACAGATCCAAATCCTATAGCACCTTGAATTTGTCTCAAACATGTTTTTGTTTGTTACGTGTTTTTTAGTTTCATTTTTGTATTATTTCCTCTAAACTAAACCTGCCGGCCTGATCTGAACAATTGAAGCCTCAAACCTTTGGCTTTGTGAAGTTTCAACCAGAACCCGTGTAAAACACGGTGTTCTTGTTCACAACAAAACAACGTTGAATCTCGAAACGCAAAACAACTCCCAAACCCAGGTTTTGGTGATGTTTCAGCCAAAAACACCGTAAAACATAGTGTTTTTGTACATTTTTGAGAAATTTTGCAAATTTGTCGGTTTGAATGTGGCTAAACATTATCATTTCCGTTTGTTTTAAATCGTGTCAGGCCATGCGGGAAGGATGCAAAACATCGTAAATAACCGTGTTTTCTGGAGGGTGAGGTGGTTGAATGTAGCAGTGCGTTGTGGAATTTGATGGAAAAACACGCAAATGCTGTGTTTCCGGACTCAGGACGTGAAGCTGCGTAAATAGTGTTTTTTTGAGCAAGGTTTAGAACAAACGCATAAAACACCGTGTTTTTTCGCCGTTGCTTGAGATAAATTGTTGGTGGGTGTGGACAGACATTGCTGTTTGGAGAGGCCTAAATGCAGAGAGTCGAATTGTTTCGTTGTTTTTTGGGGTTTTGTTTGAAGGCCGCCTCGGGAAAAAAGGGGACCTCCGAAAAGTGGATTCTGGCGACAAGTCCGTTGACAAAACATGAGAAAGCAGGACACGGCAGATGCATGTTCGAGCGTTCAAGCCGCTGTTTGAGGTAAATTTTGTGAGATTTGTGGGACAAATTGGTACATCGCACTGAGTTGCGGCTGCTGTTTGAGGTTTGTGGATGCAGGTATGCAAAGACGCGGTGTTTTTCAGAGACCTAGATGGAGAGAACCGAAGAAAAACGCTTAAACCACATTTCTGGGTTGGCGCTCTCCTCCGTTTTTTTTTGAGGGCCATCTCCCGGGAACAAAACCAGGCACCTTTGGAAAAGTTTGTTTTAGCACCAAGTTCCCCCAAAAGAGACCTTAAGGAAACCACAAGATGCCATTTTGCGCTTTGATCGGAGGCCGTGTGGGGCGGGCACCTGCGGGTGTTGGCGATGTTGTTGGACGAAGCAGGACACGGCAGATTCATTTCATGCATCTTGCGAACGAAGTGGCTGGGAGTTTGGGGGCTCTCGCGTCGCTTGTTTGGGGGGTTCTTGAGGGTCATGGGTCAAGCACGCGTCGCTTCTTCTTAGCAGTTTTTGGTCCCCTCGGCTTTCATGTATGAAGCTTGACCATGCTTGGTGTTGAGTCAAGGCTTGGGTGATGAGTCAAGG